AAATTTAGTACATTGTATATAAATTTTATAGCAGTTCACATGAATAAAGGCAGGATCGCTTAAAAAAAAAAAAAATAAATAAATTCAAAAATCATTAACAAAATTTAAAAAAAAAATCAAAAATATTTATATCTACTAAAAAATTTTAAAATAAAAAAAAAAAATACTTATTTAGAAATAAATAAGATTTTAATAAATTTTAAGTTCAAAATTTTGAAAATCAAATAATGAAATAAAGGTTTTTTAAAATCTCTTCTATGAAATAATAAACTCTTTAAACAAAAAAAAATTAACCTGCTATCTATTTTTATTAAAATTAAAATCTCATTATTTATATATTTTACTATCATTTATCTTCTTTATTATTTACATCAACTCTATGTGATTTCTTATAATATGAATTATATGTTATATACACTTACCATTTTTTTTAGCAACTTATAAATTTTTTCTGATATTTGCTAATATTACTTTGAGATCTTACCTTCTTTTCTTTAATATCCTCTATAAAAACATTTTTCATTTCAACACTAAAATTAATATCTTTAGTTTTAAACAAATCATTATATTTATCTATATCTTTACTTCTTTTACATTTTGATGAAAATAAATCATCTATTGATGATTTATGTCTATTTTTATTTACAAAGCTATTTGAAGGTTCTTTAATATTAGAGATACTTTCTATATTCTTAATATTTTTATGAATATATAGAAGCTTTGTTTATAGCATTTTGCTGATATTAACAGTATTTGAGCTTTATCATCATTATTATTCAAAATAGAAATATCAATATTATTTATTCACTTGCATATATATAAAAATTATTCTTAATAACCTCTATTATACCAACCACAAAAATAATTGATTCCTGTAGCTAAATAATATTCTTTATATATTTAAATCTCTACTTAAAATTTAGATAAACAATCTTAAAAGTAAATATTTTATATTTACAAAAAGCATAATCTCTTATAAGTATTTCAAAAACAGCATTTTTATTATTACCTATTTTATTTAAAATTCTCTATAAAATACCTATTAACAAAACCTTTAAAAGACACTTATTCAAAGATGCAACCTTATCAAGTATTTTTAAATGTGTATATAATGAAACCATTATTTAAAAAAAAATATATAAAAATAAACAACAAATATTATATTACATTTATAAAGTATATTTTATAAATATCTTTGGTCTTATATTATTATTATACTTTTTAGAAACAATTTTTTGTCCAACAGAATAGAACTTATCTTTTTTAAAAACAGCCTGTATGTCAAGATCTCTCTCTTTATCTTTATTAGATAAAAACAATATCAACTCAATTTTGTAATTTTTCTTTTCTACTGATATTTTCTAATAGCCCATATTGAAGTCAAATCTGATCGTTTTTCATACTCACACTCTTTTTAACAAATTTAATTTTTATAATAGTATCTGTAAAGTATAGCATACTTTAAATTTTAAATCTTCTAAATATAAATCTTTAGAAATAAAAACAAATACAAAGTGCTAAATTACTATTTCAAATAATTTTAACAACTTTTTTAATATGAAAAAAATCTTCTTTATATTTATAAATAAAATTTATTAATATTTGTTAATAACTATATTCTAATTTAATTTTTTTTTATTATAATATATATGTATTATTAATGTATAATTATATAATATTAACACATAACTTTTAATTTTTGTATGTATCTATTTATATATTTATATGTCTATATGTTTATTTTTAATAAGCTTTATTTAATTTCTGCTAAGCCTTTTTATTATTATTTTACTAAGCCTTATTATTATTATATATACAAATATGAATTCTATGTTTAATAGTTAAATCAAATAAGTTAATATTATAATTTTATAATATTTTTTAAAACTTCATGTATTTATTATACTATCTAAAGAAATTATTAATCCAATATATACAAAAACTTGTATTATTTTCTTAAATTTTTACTTATCTTCTAGGCTTTTTGTCTATTTCTAAAAATTTTAAATTAAATTTAAAGAAATATAATAAATTAATTTATAAAAATAACTCTATTATCACTTATAAAAAATATAGCTTACAATATAATTAAAGCTCTAAAATATAATAATAATAAAATTGTACATAATTTGTTATAGCAAAATAACTTTATTATTAATTATAATTTTTATTTATAATATAATATATTTTTATGAAAATACTAGAACTACTTTATTAATAACAATACTTTTCCTTATATATTATCATCAACGTTGGTCAAATTACTGGTCAACTAAAAATTTATTGGTCAAGCTGGTCTGGTCAAATTGGTTAAATAATCTGGTCAAATTAGTCATATAGTCTAGTCTATTAATTAAATAAATTAATATCTAAATATATATATATATATATATATATATATATAGTATATATATTTAAATATACCCTAACTTCTTAATCCAAGTTATTAATTTCTCTGTTACTAAGACTATTACCAGCTTCAATTTCAACCTTTCTTATCAAGAAACTAATTACTTAATATATACAATCTTCTCTCACTCTTCTTTCTTCTT